AAAGCTCTGGGAGAATGGGAGAGAGATCAGGGGCATGAAATGCAGGATCTGCTTCCCTGTGAGCTTGTTGGCTGCCTTCAAGTCTTTTCCAATTTATGAGGACCCGAAAGGAACCCTATCATAGGGTTTTCTCGGCAAGTTTCATCAGAGGGGGTTTGGCATACCTATCCTCTGATGCTGAGAGAGTGTGACTTGACCAGTGGTTTTCTTTCAATGGCCGAGCTGGGATTCAAACAGTGGTGTCTCCAGGGTCCTAGTCCAGCACTCGAACCATAACATCACATTGGTTCTCATTGTATATCAATACATGAATTGCACTGTGAAGAGCTGGACTCTTGCTAACTGAGTGGCTTCTTACAACTGCAAGTAGGTTGCACAAAGAACATCTGTTGCAGCAGCTCTTGTGCTGGCTGTATGCCCAGAGCACTCCGTTCCCACATAGGCTGCGTCTGCACTGCAGAATTAATCCACTTTCACACCGCCTTAACTTCCATGGCTCAGTGTGATGGAATTCTGGGGTTTATACTTTTGTGAGATATTTAGCCTTCTCTGTCAAAGAGTTCTGGTGCTATGATTACAAATCCCAGGCTTCCATAGCATTGAGCCATGACAGTTAAAGTGGTGTCAAACCGCATTATTTCTGCAGTGCAGATGCAGCCCTACACATGCACCCAGTGCCTGATAAATATCAGTCCTGACTGAGCTGTTTATGGATCATCACCCACCCCTTTAGGATTTCCCCCCCTTAAGATTTATTTTTATTCCTACCTGGCAGAAGGTTAGATTAGATGGCTCATGAGATCCCTTCCAACTCTATGGTGCTATAAAAACCTGCCACTCCCTGAAGCCTGAGGATACATGCCCTTCTTCTGTGCCCTTCTGGGTACATCATGGGAGCTGTAGTCCAGAAAAGTAACTCTGGAGGCTCCAGGTTTGGTGCCTGAGCCATATTTAACCACAAAGTTATGCTGTGTGGAAGGAGTAACATTAGCATGAATGTGCTGGTGTGGGCATGCATGCACACAATGCTTCTGAGCTACATCTACACTGTACAAATAAAGGAGTTTGACACCACTTTAATTGCCATATTTGCATTCTACAGAATCCTGGGATTTATAGTTTTGTGAGGCACCAGCACTCTTTGGCAGAGAAGGCTAAAGACCTTGTAAAAGTACAAATCCCAGGATTCCATAGGATGGAGCTAGAGCACTTAGAATGGTGTCAAACTGCATTATCTCTGCAGTGTAGATGCACCCAGCATGTCAAGCATATGAATTATCAAGGCAGTTTTCAAGGCTAGAT